CACACACACACACACTCAGCAGTGGTGGAGAGTCTCACACACACTCTTGTCTTCCAGTCTGAGGGAAGTGTGTGAAGCAAACCTGGCCTGTGAGCACATGATGGACGTGTCCGGCATCATCGCGGCCTACACTGCGTACTACGGTCCCATTCCCTACTAGAGCACCTACCCTAACCCTAACCCGCGTCAAAGCGCATTATAAGCATCTGTCAAAAATTATTAAAAAAACATAAGCAGAGGAGTTGCTGAAGCCATACCAGATCATAATAAAGAAAGAAATCAAATACCGCACTGTCGTCTGGAGTTTTTACTACTACTGATCAAACCATATCTGATTATTGTGTGTTTGTCAAAAGTCACGTTTATCACTTCACCATTCCCTACTAGAGCACCTACCCTAACCCTAACCCACGTCAAAGCGCATTATAAGCATCTGTCAAAAATTATAAAAAAAACATAAGCAGAGGAGTTGCTGAAGCCATACCAGATCATAATAAAGAAAGAAATCAAATACTGGTGTCGTCTGGAGTTTTTACTACTACTGATCAAACCATATCTGATTATTGTGTGTTTGTCAAAAGTCACGTTTATCACTTCATACAAAACAAAACACAGACTCACTATAACATTCACACACGCACACACACACACACACACACACACAGATGATGTCAAAGCAGCTTCATATCAATAACAGAATCGAAGCAAACTTCAGAAATTCTGTTGTAAAGCAGCTCTAAACACACAATAGTGTCGTTATTCACATCAAGTCGGTTCAGTGTTGCTTCAGTTCAGTCCATCTGTATAGTTCATTAATTAAGAATTTAGCACAATTCATTAATTATGAACAATTTTGTTTAAGCTATAAAGCAGCTGTACAGAAGATAATGTCATTATTCAGATCAATTCGGTTCCAGTTTTGTTCTCATCTGATAGAGTCAGTGCAGTCCTATGGATTATATTACTGAATATTAATATGTCTGTGTGTTTTTTCTCTCCGTCAGTCATGTTGGTTTTACTCGCTGCCATCTTCCTCCTCCACATCGCCTGCATCTGTCTGCTGCTGGCCGCCACCATCCATAACGTGAGTGACACGCATCACAGCCTGTGGGCGGGGCCGGGGGTGGGGCTTCACTCACCCGCTCATGAATTATTAATTAACTCCAAATCAAACAGTCTCTTACCTCAACTTCAGGGCAGGGATCCTCTCGCAAACACTTTATCGCAGCAGATTAGGAACATGCGTCCGTGGCAGGAATGGAGATCACGTCCACATTTAGTGCAGGGTTTGGAAACTGAGAAAATTAACCACAAAATCAAATCTTGAGCAAGTGTTACACAGCAGGACTAAATATTTATATGACTGACCTTCACACTAAAAGATATTCAAAGCTTCTGGAACTCATTGCTAAAATATTATGGTTTAATGTATTAATATGTTACATTTATTATAGTTCATAATATACATAATATACTATATTATAATGTAATAAAATTACTTATGATCGATAGTTATTAGTAATATGACAGAAAAGTTTGCTATGGAAGAATATGACACCAGAAGTTCATGTAGAGCTGAGACTTTAGCAGAACCGTTTAGACAGTCCAGTGGATGACGTCTGGTGAAGTGCATGTTTCTCATTCATGCTGACGTGTGTGTGTGTGTGTGTGTGTGTGTGTGTGTGGGCCTGGTGGATGACCGACTCCATGTCCACTGATATTTGGGCTCGCTGGACTCTGACTGGAGGAAACTGGAACTACACTGAGATTCCTGCTCACTATCCTAAAGGTCTGAACACACATACATTAATCAGTTCAGCGTTAATCTGTCACGCAAACACATTGAGTGAGTTTTGTGAATCTCACAGATCTGAAATCGCTGATAAAGCATTTGGTAATAAGTACTATTTCTCAAATTTTGCATGAACAAGTTTTCTTTAATGCTTCTTTCACTCACATCATTTATTACTGTTACTGTTAGCTTTTGTACCATCACTTGTGTATTTGTATGCATTTATTTGCAATGTTTCTACAGCAGTCTGTCGTGTTGTGTTTCAGAGTATCTGCAGGCGGTCCAGGCCAGTTCTGTGCTCGCGTGCATCTTCTGCATCCTCGGCCTGTTCGTGTTCGTCGCTCAGCTCTACACACTACCTAAAGGAAAGCGCTTTCTGTTCACCGGAGTCTTCCAGCTGCTGGCCTGTACGTGTAACACACACTCACATACACACACACACACACTCACTCACTCACTCACTCACTCACACACAAA